AAATTAAACTTATGGGGCCGTACGCGGCGGAAGACCTCCTGAAATTTTAGCTTCTTAGCTTTGTGGCCCCCAAACTGGAAGTGCGAGATAAAACGCGCTTGGACACACAATGCACATACACACGCACTCACACAGAAGCGTGATAATATGTGTTTTGCACTGCGGTGACGCATAAAATGGTGCGAGAATTGAACCACCATGAAAGCTGAAATCCCTTGATCAATGGCTCTTTTCACAGACTTGCTTCTCTTGCGCTTTAAAACAAAAGCCCCAATCTTGCACAGGTTATTGTCGCTCTCGGAGTGACGACAGAGAGAAGGAGAGAGACGAAATTAACGAGAGGAAACTGGATGCTGAAAAATCTCGCACCGGCCCAACCGGCGAAAGGCGCGCTTTTTTGGAGCAATCAAGCGTCGAAATTTAACGTTTCCTTTGCTTTTTAACGCAAGCTGGCACTTTCCGGCTGGTCATGTCGTCCGCCTGGCTAAACTCGGTGTTATTTTTGACAAATTTTGATAAAAATTTAACGTAAATACGTGCACCATTGAGCAAACTTTAAGTGCGGCCGCTCAGCTGCAAAAACAGAGTGGCCACGTATCCCTTCGGCAACATCAGTACATTAGAATCTCCAACATCCAAGTCAAAAATCGAGAAAAAAGTCCCACATAGGACAGCAACGACATGTCTTCCGCCTTTCAACATCCCATTAAAGTAACTTACAAGCGAACGAGTCAACTTGGAAATCAACAATTTTATCTATTTCAGCGACGCAATGACGAGTATGTGCTATTATGCTTAGCCCAAGGCTGCAAATCGAAGGGCTGCTGCTGGTCGGCGCAAATTCAACAGCACAAAGAATGGACTGACCTGAAAATGGTCCAGTTCACGAATCAGATCACCGATACAGCCGTAATGTGAAAAACATATGTCGGAGTTGACGGCATTTCCTTGCAAGATGTCCACAATTGCTTGTAATGCCTGGGTTATCTGAGAATGCGCGAAATCTCGGTTCATGCGGACTTGGTCAACTTCTGGATGCCGAATGTAAGCCTAAAAAGTGCATGACAAAAATCGTGCAGTATGCGCTGCAGCAACTGCGACCTACTTGAACTAACCCTTTCCCAAACCAGACGTGCCAAAAACAATGCCATAGAGAAGAACATATGGGCTTAAATAAATAAAAGTTTGACCTTCCCATCCTGATAAGTGCTGCTGATATCTCGAAATACTTGCTTGCTTGCAATTTCTCAGTCACATAAGTTATCCAAGCTGCGCCCTTCATCACGTTAGCACAGAATTTTCAAGTTCTGGTAAATCCACTCTTGTACATCGGTAATTCCCAATGCTGCGCTCGTGCCGAGATTCGATGTTTGCATCACCAAGACGGCTCTTGTCCTCACATCCACTATTTTTTCGACTTGTGTGCTGCCATTTCGAAGACTGCCCAAGTGGCCGGTTACTCTTTCGCCGAAACGCCACGTCTATCGGGGACAAGGAATGATAAATCCACTAGATTCCACATGTACGGGCGATCGAGAAGATATGTTACACCGCTTTCACCGAGAGATGTGCATTATATTTCACAAGTGTTCGAGTAAAAATACTCCAAGCACTGCTCAGTCTCCTGATGACCATGTCTCGCATCTTCGCTAATAAAGAGATGGCTGGCTGTGGATTTATGGATCAAATTTGCAAGGATGCCAAGCATAATCCGCTGCCCACCCCCGGTAAGCCGAACGAAGAAAAAAGAATGATAAACTCACAGTGGAGGCGGTGCACATAATATTGGTATTCAGTTTCAGCCAAGCTCGCGCTGCTTGCAAATCATCCTGTTCAGCTGGATCACGCAACTCCAGGATGCGCCGTCGGATGCTTTCGTCAACTTGCTCCAGACAGGATTGCAACGAACCAAACAGTTCACATAGCTCCTGCTTCGATTCGGCCGTTACCAACCGATCCATTATCTCCCGAGCCTATGATAACCGTGCATTGAACGGCATACGGGCCCCTGGACAGTAAAAACAACTGCCAACGTCCTAGCCCCTTTCAGTTGGCGAGCAAGCCCTCAGAATGCGCGAACAATTCGGGTGCACTCTCAGTGCTACCCTCCAAGCAATTGCTTTTCTCTCTGGGTCCTCAGTAGCGCACGAAATGAAGCGGGCATACCTTGTTCACGTTGGCGAGCATCATGTGCACATCAACCATATCAGCCATGATGAGCAGTCTGGCCACAGCTCCGAGCAAGTTCCGAGCTGCTCGAATGGCACGTGATCGTCGTTCGGTGCTGCTCGTCTCGGCCACAAAATCGTGCCCGGCGCCCACCAGTTCCACACCTGCAGGCTATCTCTCAGCAATTAAGCCCTCCACAAGCATTTTTATTATCAGTGGAGAAGCTGCGTGCTGCATCAATGGCAACACGAGTTCACTCCTCATTTTACATAATTCACCAGC